CGTCGACGCCGGTCAGCGTGACGCGGCCGGGATCACCGCCGAAGTCGCGGATGTTGTCGCGAACCCAGCGCAGAGCCATCGACTGATCCTTGAGGCCTATGTTGCCGGGCACGACGTGGTCGCGGGAGCTGAGAAAGCCGAGAACGCCGAGGCGATAGTTGACGGACACGTAGACGACGTCGCGATCGATCAGGTACTTGGCCTCGTCCGGGTTCACGCTGCCGTTGGAGAAGAAACCGCCGTGAATGTGGAACATCACCGGGAGATCTCGTGCACCAGCTGGAGTGTAGATGTGCAGATACAGGCAGTCTTCCGTGCCCGATCCCGATCGACTCAGGGCCGGGGTGAGGTTTTCCGTCGCCACCCGCTACCGAACCGTCCACGGGCTTGAGTCCGAACGGCCAGCATTTTTTGCCCGAACGCCCAGTACTCCCTGTCTTTATGTGAGTACGGTGCCGACGACTTCTTCATACTTGGTGGTGACCTTTGGCTGTGCCACGACAGATGCCGTGCCGCTGCTACTGCTGCAAAGGTTGACTACGAAAAAACTGGCCAAAAGAGCCGCTGCCAACGAGCTCGGCGACGACATTTCGACTCTTGTCTAAAATTAGGCTCACGCATTATTTATAGAAAGATAGAGATGTTGTCAAGTATTGTTTTGTCAAGTTAATCTCGAAAGTTTCTGGTCCGTTGCACATTGTCCACGCCGTTGATTGAACTGTCAACAATATGCGTTAAAATTTTATCGGGTCAATGTAGCGAAGATAAATCGCTGCTGCTTCTGCTGCTGCTGACAACAACCCGTGTGTGCCACACGAGTTGATAATTAGTACGCTCGAAAATCAGCTGACTCGAGATATGATGCACACTTGGGGCGACAGCTTTGCACGTGCATGAATACATGCTATATTCTGAAACGTCGTCCTCGCTGAATTTGGTCATTGAGAAAGTCCTCCTTCTTCTTCTCTCTCGTTCTCGTCGATATATTGCGCGTGTCTGGCTTTTCTTGCCAAGTTTTCCTTATCTCCGACGTCGAAATATATGTATAAGCTGCGCGCACAGTCAGACGTCGTCGTCGCACTCCGCAACACTCGGTGTGCACCTACACCGGCCAATTCAGTATACGCCCCGCGTCAAACGTCACACAGCCTAGCGAGAAAACAAGAGGTGCCGAGAGACGCTACGACGACGAGTAGAGAGCAGTATGTATGCGAGCTTGCAGAGGCTCTTGACTCTCTGCATGGAAATTTCCCGCGTCAACACTCGTCGCGTACAGCGCGCGGGAGCACAGCTTCTCGTACACAGCCTTCTCTCCTTGCGGGCATATAACTTTACAAGCAGCAGCGGGGAGGAAAAGGTGCAGAAAAGAGTGTGTATACACACACACACACGCGCGTACGAGTCGAGTCGAGCTCGAGAGATATACAAGAAATAGCAGTGATGCTGCTGCTACTGCTGTTTGAAGATTATATTTGTTGCTCTCTCTGGCAATTTGTATACGGGGGAACGCCGTCGTTCTTATATACATGTATTCGTATGCGCGTGGGCGAATTGACGTTTGACACACAAAAACGAGCTTGTTTTGCGTAGTCGCTCGTTGAGGGTGCGGAGAGAAGAGCGACATGATACGCATATATGCGCCCCGGTATATAAAATCGATTTCACTTTTTACTCTTTTTTTGTGCATAATTTTTAGTTCGCGAAGCAAAATTTCTAATGCACAAGCGAGCGATGAAAAAAAGGAACACGTCCAAGTTTCTAACTCGGATTGGATATTCATTCATTTCGTCGCGAGTTATACAGCACACACTAGGCAATATATTATTGGATTACTTCGGTGCGCTATCGTCGTCGTCGTCGTCGTGCGTTCACGTACGCATGTACACACGTATATATTTAGGTGCACTTTGCTCCAATTTGATGTTATTTCCCGCGAGATAGAGAGAGAGAGCGAGTGAGAGCGTGAATCTCGAGCGAGGTAGAGCAGAATTTTTCTGTATTTAATGCGGTTTGTGCTGTGTGCGACGTCGAGCATGTACGCACACGTATGTATGCTCGTTCGCAAATGCGCAGCAAATAAAGAAATAGAAAAAAATAGCTAAAGGATTTACTCGATAACATACGAATGAGGAGCCCTAAAAGCCTAAGGTTAATCGAATACCGCCGCACACGTCTCTGGCTGCACGATTTAAATGTGATACCACATATACTTTCGCGATTGGATACATAAAATTCTTTCGACTCGATGGACATTATTTCGTTGTCAAAGAGGAGGAAGCGTCATCGATACTCCTCGGAAACATGACGCGGAATAATAATTAATCGAGCTTGAACATCCCCGACGCAGTCTGAGCCATGCGTGCAGCTGCACCGCAATTCCCTCGGTACGACTTTTGTCTCTCTTGTGTATATGCGTACCAGTTCAGTGCCCCGCAACGAAATTAAAAATCAATTCCGCTACTTTTACCAAACGCATGTATTTCTCGCCTTCTCGCTAACTTATCTTATACATATTTGGCATGGTGCGGTATATGAATAGGTTATTACTCTGCTGCCGCTGGCGAAAGCATCGATATTTCACTGGATTCCTCGCCTTCTTTTAAGAGGATAGAGAGGATATTTTTCTCTAAGAAGGAGGAGACTGCGTGATTTACACCTGATTTACCTATAGAGTCTGGCGAGCCTTAGCATATAAAGAGACGTTAGAACAAAAAATATTGTCGAGAATTTTTCTCCGTTATACTGGTTTAGCCCTCGCGATGATTATAAAATTTTTGATATTTTCCAGGCTAACAATGTGAAAAAATCTTCTACGTATCAATGCTGAATTCGGAACGAATTAAATCCAGCGTACATAATCTCTCGAGACCGCAAAGTACCCTGACGATCGTCACCCAGTATTATGCAATGGCCGCGTCCAGAGAAAAAGTTTCTTCCTTTGATACCGCTCGCTCCCCCGGTGCAGAGCTCGCCATAGTACTCATTAGTTTTAATTCGCGCGCGTTAGCCACGTTGTCCAGAGAGAGAGAGAGAGAGTGAGAGCACCGAACGCATTTCTTTGTGTAATCTCTCTCTCTCTCTCTCCAGCCACTACGGCGCGTCGACTATCTCTATTTTTTAAATAGCTCCTCGCGCGCGCGTGTAAAACCATTACAAGCGGACCGGGCAATCCAAGTAAAGTGACTTTCGAGCTGCTCCCGGTGAAAAAATAACCCCCTTTTAAAACTTCTTTTACGCGCGCGCACGGCCGTGTGGATATGTTCCTCGTTTCCTTTTTTTTTGTATGCCAGCCTGGCGATTCTAGTTGCGCTAACGTTTTAATTCTTCGCTTCGATGCCACTGTCTATCTTATAAACCTTTTTTTCTTTGCTTTTTTTTCAAAGGTAGTATAGATATTTATACGAAACTTGAGCGCGCGAGCTTATACGAAAAAGTTCCCAATGGATCGATAGCTAGGAATTACAGGTATATATGCGCGAAGCAGCAGCAGCAGCCAGCCGGGGTGCAGAGGGTCTCTTCTTCGCTCGCAGGCGGGGACTTTTATAAATTGCCGAACTTGTGTCCTATGGACTTTTGGTCTTATTGTGTGCTCAAAGAGAGAGAGAGAAGTTTTCCTTTTTTTACCCCCTCTCATGGCTGTACGCGCGCCAAGTTGATCGGCTAGGGTTTTTCGCCTTCGAGAATTTACGATTTTTCCGGGAACTAGAACAGTACTTGCTTACCATAAAACTTTCGTCGAGATTCAAAATCGGGCTTAATGAAATTCCGCATTCCGCCGAAAGAAGAAGTAAGAGTGGATCATTGCTTTAAAGAGGACAGACGAAGAAAAAAAGTCGTTTTAGCTGCTTCGCCACGCGTGTTTTCATTAACGCTGCAAACGAGCGAATCATATTGTTTTAAATTAGCTCTTTGGAAGAGCCCAAAAACGCAATCACCGGCCGCGAAACAAATTCATAGCAATGATAACGTCCTCCCTGTGTCTCTCTATTTTTCTTATATACCCATTGCTGGGCACGAGCGAGCGTCTGCTGTAATTGCCTCAAACAAACGGTTTCTGTACGGCCTCCCGCAGCAAGTGGCTTATACGTACTGCGCTATTATAGCCGAAAAAGACATTTAAGGAAGATGTTACGACGTAGCCAAGTGCCGCTGCTGCTGCTGCTGCTTCTGCACAAGGCTGCAAGGCCATCTGGTCGCGCGCCCGCTTAAATTGCCCTGTTGTATACGTATAACCTTATCTTTGAGGCAACTGTGCCGCGCTGCTTTATTTCTCCGACTCTTGATTAATCTAACGATGCTTACAATTACTAGCAAAAAAAAGAAGAAGAGAGAATAAAAACGATTTCCAGCCACGGGTAAATTCGCAACACGCGTATACGCGCAAGCGAGCTTTTCCTCGGCTCGCCACAAAAAGCCCGAGTAAAAGCGAGCGCATTTGCAAGTACAAAACATTCGTAATCAGACGCGCGGCTCAGAGGCTCGAGACATCAGTCAAGCAAAGCACGAGGGGTAGCTGCAGTGTGCGTTACGCTACTCTTATACTACTACACTCCTCCGCGTATGTATATACGTAACTGCGCGGCGTAATCTAACTCCGCACCTACGCGACGACCGCTGCAGTCGCAGGTATAAATCAAGCCGATGTACAAAGGTTCGGTGGTCTACAGATATATACATTTACCTGGGACGCGATCGCAGGTGAAAATAAGAGAGGAAAAAAATGCTTAAGGTCGCGCGCACGCACGCACGGACGCTATACAACCTGTATGGTCCGAGTAGTAGTAGCTGCTCGACTATAAATTTGCCGGCCGATAGATCGGCGCGTGATTCGTTCCTGCGTACGTGGGGTGATTTATTTTATAGCCACACTAGGACTGCGCTCGGGCATTACCCGCGCGACTGCACAGGTAAGTATATTTTCGTATTATTTCATAGATAACAAGAATTGCGAAAAAGAAAAAAATGAGGGGGTAAGAAGTGAGCGAGAGAGCTCAACTCACCGAGTAGTTTCTTGACTTGGCTCTGGCTGATGAAGATGTTGAGGTAGGCATTGCCGTAGCCCACCGACTGCAGCCAGAGCAGCAGCAGCAGCGCGAGTTTGCCGAGCGACGAACAACTTGCTGATGCCATTGTCGCATCGCCGGCTGCCTTTACTTTCTCACGCGCGCGAGCTAGCACATACACAAACACACTCTCAGCACCAGCAGCTATATCCACTCGATGTAGTACGTATATATACTTCGTTGAAAAGGAAAACTTGTTTCGGGGATAACGGCACTATTGGCCCACTCTTCCGTGTATACTGCACATCGAGCCCTCAGAGTTACGATAACGAACCACTGCTGATTTTTTTACACTTTTACTTTTGTCACCCGAGTAGTTTCGTCCCTTGTGCAAGTCACACCGAGAGCACTGATTTTTAATTTACATTCCCTTTTCGCGCAATGCTTTTTTCTCTTATTTGGAATGATTCGGAGTATACCTGACGTGTGACCAAAGTACCTCGGCTGCTAGCCGCAAGAAGACTTGAATAATCAAAAATTTCTTTCATCTTCGCACATGAGTCTCGGGTCGAGTAGCCGAAGCGTAATACATAGCAGCAGAGGCAACGCTGCACATTCTCACACACACGAGTCTTTTCACAGCATCGGATGCAAAATAAAAAAAAAAATTCCCTTTGAACTTTTTTTCTTCTTTTTCTTCTCGCGCGCCAAGCCGCGCCACACACGGCTCGTATGTACGCGATCACGTGCTGCTTTTGTGTTACAGTACTGCGAGGTGGCTCGCCGGCGCTCTCACTTTGCCCCGCAAGCCAAGGGGGGATGAAAAACGAGGCTACGTATATTACAAGTGCACGTCCACGCGGTACGGCGTACCGAACGCTACTGAACACGCGTTTCGTAGGACTCGCAGGGGTTAGTGTAGTCGGTGGCTGTGCAGCCGGTCTCTCGCTCTCCGTGACGCAGGCGCATGAACCCTTTTTTGCCGCCGCTGCTGCTGCTTGACTACTACTCCACTGCGCCAGGCGTCTGACTATATCGCGCGCTGCACTACTACTTGGCGCACGGCTCTCTCGGTTGTCGTGCGGGTGCGTGCCTACACACACATATATATATAGCTTATCGCTACTACTCGACGATGCAAACAACGGATATCCGGCGATCCGCAATCTTTCCCTCTCTCGCTTCCTTATAGCTATATAGCAAGAGCAGAGAGAGTCAAGCTCTAGCTGCTCCGCGCCTTTGCAGAGTGCCAAGAGATTCGAGCTTTGATGGATGATCGTTTCAAAGCTTATATTGCTCGAGTTGACTCTTTTTTTTTATTTGCCTTTTTTCTGCCTTTTTTGCTCTTTTTTGTCATATAGCCTGAAACTGACTTTTCCCTTGCCCATGTGTGCGTGTGCGAGTACATAATCTCGTGTGCGCGCAGTTTTTCGCTCGAAAAAGCCAAGAAGAAAAAGATAAAATACCGATACGCATGTATATGCAGCATACGAAGCCGAGAACGAGAGGATATTTAACGAGAGCTTATTAATTTAGTCCTTACTGAGCTTTGTATTTACCTGTTTCCGCAACGCGTGTCTGCGTATATATATACCCACGTAGGCATCTGACACCCCAAGCGATGTTACGCGTTCGCTTCTCTCTCTCTCTCTCTCTCTCGGTATACATATACACATACATACAGACGACAGCAGCAGTAGTAGTATGTACTGACTTTCGATTGGTCGACGGGGGAAATGAACGTATTTAAACTCGCATCGTCGTGCTCGAAAACGTTTGAATTTAATTAAATAGAACGACTGTACGACGAGCAGAGAGAAGCGTAGAGGGAGAGAGAGGGAGACGCGAAACGTATCACACGAGTGACTATGCCGCGTATTTATTATATGTACGAGTGTTAATACTGACAAGCCTCGATCCGTGGGTATTGCAGTACAAGGGCGAAAACAAAAATACAGAAACAATTTCGGCTAAGTATTAAGCATGACGAGCCACGTTGCAATAGCTAGCGTAGATGAGCTCGAATCAATGTCATCGATGTACGCTGCGTGTATATAATACGCCGGGCATTCCGGGTCGCGTAATCTCTGCTGTTAAGCATGACGAGGGAGAGAGAGAGAGAGAGAGAAATTAATAATCGCTCTAAGCGCGTATTCATCACGTGCGGGCGGTTTGGGCAAACATCACACCGCCGCCGCGTCCTTATAACGTTAACGCATCGACGACGACGAGCACCCAAAATTCATCCTAGCTGCGCACGACGATATTCGACCCCCGAATGCGTTGGTTGTTTAACAGAATTCGCCGTGGCATATTCCCCGCGTACACGACGCATCTCCCTTTCGCTATATATCTATCGACGCGACGAGAGAAAAAGAGACGAAACGCACAAAGGGGGACTTTAATTAGAGAGTGGACTAATTATCGCCGCGTATAGTCTATGATTATCATTTTTCGCCTTTTATTCCAGTCGAGAAAACATTCAACGCGCGATGCGACCGAACTCGTACATGTATTGCGCGCTTGACAAAAGTTTATACGATTATCCTATATTATTATACATCTCCGAGCACGGCGGCTAGGCCCTGTGCTCGTATACGCGTAAAAAAGTGATTCGCGCTGATCGAAAAAGTTCACGGGCGCGCAAGCTCACTGCACCGCTGCTCGTGATACAGCAGGTGAGGAAAAGCATAAATTTCAAATTGACGAGGTCAAAGTTTACTTATATCGTTTTTCCTTCTCTCTTTCTCTCGATTTTTTCATTTCGCAGCTCACGTCGTCGCGAGTGGGAGCAGTAGAATTCTCTCCTATACGTGAGAAAGTTATGCATAAAGTATAACGGCCTCGCGCGCTCGCATACGCACACACACACACGGCTTTTAGACGTCAGTTTACGAGGCAAAGTTTTCCTCGTTTCTCGATATGTATGTATGTGAGCTCTCTATAGTATACGATTGTGCATATTAAAGGGGGTATAAGGCCAAAGATATCCTCGACGCGCGCGAGATATATATAGAAAAGAAAGTCAGTGGAGCAGGATAAGTTTTTGATCTTTCCTTTCTTTTATTTCTCATTCTCTTTGCCTTTTTCCTTCTCCTTTCCCGTGCAATTCTACTAATATATTTCATTTGTTTTCCAAGCTCACCATTCTATATATTATAAGATTCTTCAACATGATGAATGTTACACAGGTTCGCAAAGAAAAGAAATAAAGCGTCGAACTGCACGTCGTCCCTGAAATCGTTCGACGTACACTGCTTAAATATAATATCGATCGGCCATCGAGGGTCACGTGTTATTTATTATTTAAAGTCTCCTTTAAACATACATAGTCGCTGCATATATGCGTGCCGAAGTACAAGGAAGAATACCCAAGTGATCATAGTGTAGGACGTCATCGTGAGCGAGATCGATGCATTATTTGCAGTTTATTCCTTCGGCTAAATGATAGATCTGACTACTTCTGTCCCCTTCTTCGTGCATGAGTTTTTGTACGTCGCAGAAAGGGAAAGTAGCAGCACTGCGACGCGACTTTTGTTACACGGGCAGAGAAGTAAAATCAAAAAAAAAACATCGACTATAGCTGCGCGCAACTGGTCTGCACACACGAACGAATGCGTACTGCATCGGGAGAGAGAGAGAGAGAGAGAGAGAGAGAGAGAGAGAGCTTAATCTCCGCAGCTACGTCTTCATATAAATATAGCTCTGCAGCGTGGCTAAGTGTGCTTTTTACGACAGGATTATATAGTCCGTGAGCAACTCGCTTTCTATGTACTTAAGACTAGCTGGGGTTATATGTGCTGCTGCTGCTCGCTCGCTCGCGAATGTTAATGCTGATTTTCAGCGAAAGTTCAAACTTGCGAGTGTATATCGCGGGGGGGGGGGGGGGNGGGGGGGGGGGGGGGGGGGGGGGGGGGGGGGGGCGCGGCTCGCTGGAAGCTTGCCAAAGGTTAATGGGATAAGCAGGCGAGTTGTGTGTACAGCAGTTCAAGTTGCCTCGCAATTTGAAATTTCACATCTTGAGAAGGCGAGCGACAAGACGCGCCATCTCCGCGGCTCACGCAGCTGGAGAAACTTTCCCGCGACGTATCCCGCTGAGCTGCCGTACGCCGAAGGTATATTTATAATCGAAAAAGCTGGAATTAACATGGCGCTAAAAAGCAAAAAAAAGCAGATATAAACGTACACGCGTGCAAGCAAATAAAACTTGTTAATCGGTCTTCTTTGATGTTTGGGGGTGCGCAGAGGAAAAAAAATAGATCGATCGCTGCTGCTGCTATTGCTGCTAGGTAGAGACTTCTACAGACTTGAATGATCGATTCGAGAGTGGCAACACGACGCACAACTCGACTTTCCATTATTAACTTTTTTGCTTTGTGTATCGGCTGGTCCGTGTCCCTTTTCCGTTGCTCTTTCAGCGCCGCAGCCACGAATACGACGACGACGGCGAAACGTCTGTGGGGCGCCCAGACTCACCGGCGGTCGTTAGCGATAGCACCACGATTGAGAGTCGACTTTTCGATTCATCACGTTGATGCATATATACATTTGTAATTTGTCGCATGTTTATCGACGCATCGCTGCCGGTATTTGAATCTGTGCAATTAAAAGAGAGAGAGAGAGAGAGAGAGAGAGAGAGAGAAGGAGAGCAAGTTCGATTTCGAGCAGTTATTTTCAATTATGTTTTTAGTCGTCGCTCGGCTTTGAAGCGGTCAAAACAATATTTGAAAATTTTACGCGTTCCGTCGAGTATGAATAATGAATTGCATCGGCCACTTGATACTCAATCTCGATCAGGAGATTTTACAAATTCGATAATGCCGAGTTATTTATACTTTTTATAACTTTTTCTACAATATACCATCTCATGCACAGAGCCCAAGTAATTCGGCTGATCAACATTACATGATGCAAATTTTCAGCAGAGGTAATAAGTAACTGCGAAAGCTCCATGCACATAACAAAAATCGGTTGTTATCATGGCAAATCGCCGCGTTTGATTGCAGCATATGAGTCATTTCGCGTCAAGTCTTTAGCGGTCCGCGCGAGCGGCCTTATTAAGCCAAATTGCTCAATTGGTAACTCGTGAGAAAAGCATCTAAATGCACCTATAGAAAAAATATGAGCCATATAATTTCGATGTGAAATTACCTCAGCTTTCCGATTGAGAGGTCAGATTTTCAAAACTTTTCCATTTTTCCGTAGAAAATTGCCGGAAAACCTTCAAAGTCGAATATCTCAAAAAGGGCATTTTTAAGATTTTTCTAAATAAATTCTAAGTGAATTGGTGAAATAGGCCGCACGCGCGTACCTCTGGAGACTTGACGTAAAATGACTCATATTGCGCTCAAATAATGAAAAATAATGATCGAGGACGAGGCAACAATTACTTTCGACAATGCATAATAATTTTTACCTATAATACGGTCATGTATATTCTAAGCGATTGAATTCATAGTTTGGTATAGTTTGTTCGATTAACCAAAAATTCTGTTATAAATAGAAGCTCTAACATATTAAAGCGCATAATCGCATAATCTACTAAAAGTCAGCTGGTGAATATTTTTGCATAAGCCTTTTAGTTCTCAAAAATCGAAAATATTTCGTTAGAAGATTACAAAATACTTGAACAGGGAGAATTTTGAAAGAATGTTTACGTTTTGTACTTTTCGATCGTTGTATATTTGTATTCTAATGTGAGTGAGAGCGGGAAAACAATGTTGGTTCGAGGCCGAGTACTTGAGGAACTGTTAGTTTCGATCGAACCGTATTAGTTCTCGGACATCGAATCAGCTCGTAATAATTATCAGTCTGTGTTAAATGAAATTTTTATACTAGTCGTCAAATATCCAATAGTTTGGAATACTTGACGTGACGGTAAAAATGTCGCAAATTTTAATGAATCAAGACTATTTTCGTTCAAAAAATAATGCGGAGGACATTATTAAGTTACAAGAATTCTTAATTAATAAGAATATTAGACAAGAAAATTTAGAGAATAGAGCCTTGATAAGAACTATGATGCGAGAGACGGCGAAAAAATTTGCTGACAGGCAACCAATGACGTTGGAAATAGACACGTTTATCAATACGATTGGTACTTTTACGATTGATCACTTGAAGGAAGTTAAGCTGTTTCGAATAAATTATGGCATATTGACTGTGGCTTGCGTTGAACATTTTCTCTACCCCGGGGAAGACAATGAAGAATATATGAAGATATATTCTTGCGACAAAGAAAAGGCGATCGAAGTATATCGTACACTGCGAGGTTTTCCGAGTACTCCCGACGGTACCTTATCTAGATCGGTTAGATCTTTCTTTAATTGCCCAAAGTTTTCGAAAGACAATCAATACTTGGAAGCAATAAGATCATATTTGAGAAGTCTTCAAATTAATAACGAGGATATGCATTACATAAGGAAAACATCAATTGAATTAATGTAAGTCAATATTTTGAAACCATTTTTATAATTTTATTCTGTAAAATTTTATATAATTTTCAGTGATACTCTAGAAGCTATGAACATTCTTGAACGACCAGTACTCGAGGAATTGCCTTCTGTTACTCATAAAATATGGCAATCTTTTATAACTAAAAAATATTTTCTTGAAAAATCCAATGCAAATTGTATTATTAGATTACAAAATTATTTAAAAGAGAAAGTCATTGAAGAACCAAGTTTAGAGAATAACTCAAATTTAATCAATATACTACACGAGGGGATGCATCTGTTTTTAAACGATGAACCTTCAGTATATTATTTAGACACGTTTCGAAATACGATTCTTGATTTTACAATTGACCATTTGAAGCAAGTTGAACTGTATCGTATAAATCGTGGCATATTGGCTGTCGCTTGCATCGAACATCTCCTCTACCCCGGGGATAATATTGAAGAATTTATGAGAATATACAGTTGCGATAGTCGCAGGGCGACCAGGATATATAATAAACTACGAGGTTTTTCAGAGGACAGGATTCAAGACGTTGACACAATCAGGGCGACGATAAATTTTTTTAATTGCGAAAATTGTCTAACAGACAATGATGATTACCTATCAAACATAAGAGGGTATTTGAGAGCTCTTCCAATTAATCAGGATGAGTTGAAATATATAAAAGATGAATCGTAAGTAAATATTTTAACATTGGGTAATGCAATTTCATAGACTAAAATTTGATTTATTGCTTTTCTTAACAGTCGTAAAGCTATTGATTCTACGTCACGCCAAGAACAACATGAATTTCTTAGACCTCAAATACCTCCACCTGTCGCTCGCCGACCTCGACCTATTGCTCGCCGACCTCAACCTATTGCTCAGCCAGCTCAACCTCATGAGGAAATTTTATTGACTGAACAATATTTTTGTAGAAAAACGACTGCACATACTATTATTAGATTAGTGGAGTATTTGAATGCCCGAGATATTGAAGAACAAGATTTAGAGAGAATTACAATAGTAAGGGAAATATTGCGTAGCGTGATCAAAAAATTTGCCGACAGGAGTCCAACACTGTCGGAACTCCACACGTTTCGAGATACGATTCATGATTTTTCAATTGATTATTTGAAGGAAGTTAATCTGTTTCATATAAATCATGGAATATTGGTCGTTGCGTGTGTTGAGCATTTTTTGTACCCGACGGCATGTAATGAACATTATTTGAAGATATATAATTGCAGCAGACGGAGGGCGACCGTGTTATTTAATAAGTTGTGTGGTTGTCCAGAACATAATAAACCCGACAATTTCTTAGTCATTTCGACAAGAGATTTTTTTAGATCCCGTCATTTTTTAATGGACAATCGATACTTAGAAGCAATAAGATCATATTTGGAAAAAATTTACATCAGTGATGACGAGTTGACTTTTATAAAAGATGAATCAATTCGCATAATGTAAGTGAATAGTTAAAAGCTGGTTTATACAATTTTTCATTCTAAAATTTTAATTAATTTTCAGTTATAGTCAACAAGTTAATGAGCAACCGCCAACAATCCGTGTAGATCTTCTACCTAACGCTCAACCACCTCAACTTATCGAACAGCCACCTCCGCCTAACGCTCGATTACCTCCACGCAATCCGCAAATTCTAATAACTCGAGAATATCTTCAAAAAAAATCTGGGGCACAAGCTATTATTAATATAGTAAATTACTTAAATGACAACGACATTACAGAGCAAGTATTAAGTGATACAGACTCGATAAGGACTATGATGCGAGAGACGATGAGCATATTTGCAGACAGGAATCCAACACCGTTGGAATTAAACACGTTCAAAAATACGATTCTTGATGCTGGAATTGACTATTGGACGGCCGTTAGTCTGTTTCGAATAAATCATGGCATATTGGCCGTCGCTTGTGTTGAACATCTTCTCTACCCCGGGGAAGATAATGAACAATATATGAACATATATGGTTGCAACGAAGAAACGGCGGATTTGTTATATAGAAGACTGTGTGATCTTTGTGAACTTCCGGTGGAAAATATACTCGACGATGTCACAGTAAAATCGGCTAAATCTTTCTTTAAATGCAAAAGATATATAAGAACCAATAATGATTATCTATCAACCATAAGAGAGTATTTGGGAAATCTTCAAATTTATGATGAAGAGTTGGAATACATAAAGGAAAAATCAATTGATTTAATGTGAGTGAATATTTTATAAACGTTATTGTAACTTTACTGTGTAAATTTTAATATCATTTTCAGTGGTCGTCCTAAACCTATTGATCAATTACCCGTTGAGAATATAATTGATCCTATCGAAGATCAACCCCCGGCAGAGAATATAATTGATCCTGTCGAAGATCAACCCCCGGCAGAGAATATAATTGATCCTGTCGAAGATCAACCCCCGGCAGAGAATATAATTGATCCTGTCGAAGATCAATTACCGGCAGAGAATATAATTGATCCTGAAGAAGATCAATTACCGGCAGAGAATATAATTGATCCTGAAGAAGATCAATTACCGGCAGAGAATATAATGGAAGATCAACAACCAAATTTGCGCGAAAACAACGAGCAGCCTCGTGCGTCTACCCCGGAAAATCATGCTCCTCCACCAATCGTACCAATACCAGTAAACCATGAATTTACTGTACGGTACAGTATTCACCAGAAAATAATGGCAAACAGAATGTCAAATTCATTCTTTTGGCCAGCAAAGATTATGAATATTAACAATCAATCGATGACTGTTCAATTTTACACATTCCCACGAGGAGAGAGGCAAGTTATTTCATCGAGAGATGATATCAAAAGTATGGAGAAAGAAACACACGATAAAATTTACGCATCTCTGCCAAGAGAGTTACGTAAACCTTTTAATTTGGCAGTGCTAGAGGCGCTTGGTGAAAACGTGCATGACGGATGGTAAAATTGTATTTATTGAATCGAAACGCTTTTATAGCATTGTGTGATTTCTGAAATTGTTATAAAATTTTGGATTTATTTTATCAGTATTTATTATTCAATTGTGTAATACCATACCTTATAACATTAATTTTTATACATTGTTTCAAAAATTTAACAATAGTTTGTGCCAAAGTTCATGTTTAATGTTTTTCTGATCTTTGAATGTGCAATCGTAAGTATCCCAGATCGACTTGAACATACGATCGTAAAGTAACACGTAACACCGAACAGACTCAGCGAAACGAGAAGCACATTGGCTGCGAAAAAACTACTAGACAGGAAAAGAGGAAGAGTTGAAAAACACTATCTTGTGAAAGAATCCATCGGCCACTTGGGTGCTGAGCAGTACTGAGCTTGTAATGCGAATTCAATCACAAAATGTTTCGACTGCACACACACACGCACACACACGCGCGACGGTGAGTTATTAGCTTAGTCGAGCGCATTACGCCTAGGTAGGTACATACTGATGTACCTTTTGAACTGCATCGATTATCGGATTCTGACTTCACTCTTGTTTGTATGATCGGTCTTTTTTTTCCGAGAAACATTTATATTTTTTTTACCTCGGATCAGCATTGTTTACTCTCCTCTGGTAAGCGCTTTATTGTACATTTTACGCGAAAACGTTCGAATTATGCATGCCGATATCAAAAGCTTCGGTTCAAACGAGCTGTGCGGGTTATTAAAAAAAAGTATCCAATATCAAGTAAGTGGCATTGGCGCAAGTGGACCGTATTGCATCATTATCGTCGAGCTCGTACAAAAAATCAAAAATAAACATTTCGATCCATCGATATATAAGCGCGTGTAAAGTTTTTGTACTGCCGTATTCATGGTCGTCAAAAGTTGTCGTTACATATTCGTGCGCGCACATAGGCATATCGAGTGTTTTCATTATTATTTCCAAGAAATAACAACGCGCGCAAGGCTTCGGGTTGGACCGAAAACACACTACCTATCATGAGGTTGCTCGAGCGCATGGCAACGACGTGTATCGAGAGAATAAAAACTACTAGATCTCGAGAGCATATCTATCCGGCGAATCGTTGGGTGCGCGCAAAATTCACTAATCGCGCGTCGCGGTCGGCGAATTATGCGCTCGTATCATGGATATCAATTAAAGCTAATCGACATGCAAATCGCCGCATGCATATAGATTACAGCATTGCGGAGCGCGTATACATACACACACGCATCGAGCCTTCACTCCCTGCCTCCCTTTACACGAGAGATTATCGATTGAGCCTCGCGTGTGTGGTAGCGTGTAGTTCGCGAGCTCGAGCCGGCATCCCTCTCTCTACACTCGCTCGACTCCGGCGATAATCTACGAATTCCCTTCGGGCGATATTATATGCATGTAGATTGAATATAAAAGCATATAGAGCGCGTCCACGTGCGCGAATAGTATAGGCCTCAAAGTGATACGGTATATATGAGCGAGCTCTCTGTAATATATAATGCGCCTATACGTATGTGTGTGTGAGTGTGTGTGTGTGTGTGCGGGTGGGAGAAAAATTTTACTCACTGATTCTTTTGTGTCTATCGGCTATCGAGAGAGTCGAGAAATGAGTTTATGCAAGTTCGAGCTTATACCAGAGAGAGAGAGAGAAGGGTGCATTTCATTTTACACAGTATATGCGGCTTTGATCTGCCAATTGTTCTTTGACATTGTGAATTCCGATGCTCGCGTGTGCTCGTGTGAATGTGCATATAGAAGGTATCAATGGATGTGCCATGGTGCTCACGGCTTGCGCGCGGCAAATTTCAGTCGTGAAAAATCGTTTCGCAGAAACTGGGCAATATTTTTCAAAGATTTACGCGCCGCCGAGATCATCGCAGCTCCGGACAAATGCAAAAATTACAAGTATATCTCGTTTTATCGTCGAGATTAATTGTACTGTTGTGCATGGCGAAAAAAATACGCTCAGCCACGCCAAGAATCGTACAAAGTCACGAGTAACTAATGGGAAATTCTCCAATAACTCTTCTAATCTTATAGTTTGCTCGACGCGTTGCTCTCCATATGGCATACATAGCGAGAGTGTTAAGTTGGATTCATATGCAGGATTTCGTGTGTATTTGTGTGTATGTTTTCTGCGTGTAGTGCATACGGTGTACAGTACAACGCACCGGCGTAGGTCTTTCTCTATATCGGTTTGAATTACGAGCTTTATCGGGATGCGAGATTTTCCCTATTTTTTTTTTTTTTGCGCCGCGCACCCTGAAACTTTATGCCCTTTTATATGGAGTTTTGCCAGTCGTACCTTTTTGTACGTGTGTGTGAGTATACAAAAAAATAGCACCATTAAAATGAGAACGCGCGGGTCATATAGCGGTCGTATGAGGATAAAAAAAGGCAGCAGCAGGAAAAGGATCGTAAGTCTCTCTCAGTGCGACGCGCGGAGATGGATGATCGTAAACTAGTCGATTTTGACACAACGACGGGCTTTTTTTCACGCGCAAAATTGAAAACTCGTATTATTCTATAGCTGCGACGAAGAAAACGAGCCAATAGCGCGCGAAAAGCTCGCTATTCTATGCGAGCTCGTACGCAGTTACAAACTCTCGAGCGAGCAATTATCAAAGTTGTATAATCGGCGAACTGCACGCGCGATGTTCTCGCTCGCTCCCTCTCTCTGCCTCTCTCTCTCTCTCTCTCTTTAACTCCTATAACCGAACAAAAGTACATCTGGCATCGGTAGATAAGAGAAATGCACCGGCGGGCGCGTAGTTGAAGCTATTATTCCCGATTTTCGGGGAAGAAACGAGACGCGTCGCTTGGGATTCGCTCATACAGTCCTTATCATCGCGTAAACTCCTCTTCTCGTAGTGCGTGCGCGTGGCTGTGTATTTATGGGCGCAATGATAATTATTGGATTGGCTTCGAAGATCCGGATTAAAGATTATCCAGTTAGAATTGCTTTCAATGAACGAGTTTGGAAGAGTGTACAACGTATTTACGATCATTGCGAATCCACTACTGGAAATAATCTGCATTGTTATGTTGTCGGTACATCGGGGATAAACTCGAAGATAGTTTCGAGTTTGCATAATTTACTGATACATTCATGAATTCCGATGCTTCATTTATCTTACGTAGAGTTAAATAGCGAGTGAGTCGATAGTGTACGTAAAGGTGCATTTACAATTACTCATAAAGTGCACTGACATGCGGGGTCTGAATAAAAAAATCAAACAACCAAGTGTGTAGAAAGGCATCCCATATTGGTTTAATGTGCTAAACGCCTTAAAAAAATATAATACCGTTAAATAATGATGTATTGTGTTACATAGTATAACCCAAAATTGAGGTAAAATTTTAGCCTTTGTCAATCGCTAGCGAAGAGCTTCCTCCCAAAAACTTGATTATTCTTATTTTTATATGCTAATAAAATAAGATATTTTCTAATATTAGTAGTAACTTTTCAAAAATGCTGTAATTTTGCACACATTTTTTTCATATATTACAACTAAATTGTCCTTCTTTTGCAAAAACTGCGCAAATGCCAGATGTTAAAAATCTTTTCTCTAAAACGTCTTGTGTAATCTCATAATAACATCTGCATTATTTTTATTTCAAAAATAATCTTAATTTTATAAAGTTTCAGACTTATAATTTTTAAAAATATTGGATATTTGAAGAAAAATATACATATTTTATTTAACCCAGATTAATTATTCTTACGATCGGAAAATAAACACGGTTCTATCAAAGCTAATAGTTACACGAACTCAAACTTGGTCTCGCGTCAACATTGCTTTCTCGCGCTCACTCATAAACGAGTACAAATACATACGTTCAGACATGCGTTCAAATTTCACATTCATAAAATAATTTGATTTGAAACATTTTTCTGAATACTTTCATACTGTTGAAATTGAGTGGAAGTTACAAATGTTGTCATAATTGAATATTTTTTCGATCAAGAAAATTTGATCATTATCATTCGAATAATTCGTCTAATTTTCGTTTCTTAATTTTACAGCAGATGGGTAACTTCGATACTAAGATTTGTTGATTGTAGTCGACAAGGTGCAGGCTTAACATCCCAGAACTCAAAATCTACTAATATTTTAACTTTGAATTTTTTTTCTAATGCCATTACCGCTCTCATATAATTTTCCTAAATTTACAATTGTCTAGAGGAAAAGTAGCCAAATAAACTACCTCGATATTGTCAATTTGTAAAAGCTTGCTTACTGCAGGAATCAAGCTCCTCGATAGTGACTTAAAAGACTTACTTTATTCTATGAATAAAATAAATTTGATTCATAGATGAGCACCATTTACTTATCCGTATGATTTAAAAATTTAAAAATATATGTGATAAAAATATATGTGATAATTTAAAAAAATATGTGATTTGTATTAATTTGTCATTTCATTAACTGAACAATGCTATGAAAATTCATTCATATGAAAAATACAATTTTATTCATAATTAACAAGCGATTGTTTGTTAATTTCTATTGCAGCCAGTGCAACTGCATCTGTAAAGCTTTTTCGTGTCATATCAGGATTCGGAAATTGTCAATTTCACTCATATACTCTTTAATACATTTTTTCATACTTTTTGTCCGACGAAATCGTGGATATTTTTTTAATAATAAAAAATATCGCGAATTTCTCTTATTTGTACAAGTCAGAGGTTAGAATTTGAGATTCTTGCTAATAAAATCTAGTCAGTAAAGAATTGCAGAGGATTGGTCGATGAAATTATTCGTGAAGATGGACGAGGCTACTGCTCACATAGGAGGAATGTTTCCGATGGGATCAATTCTATTCTCTGCCGGCTGTCGATGACATCCTTCATGACTATCAAATAAAATAAAATAAAATATTAGAAGAAAAAAATTGCATTAACTATTTTCAAAATATTCACTCACATTAATTCTTTTGCTTTTTCCTTTATGTATTGCTTCTCGTCATCATCCTCATCAATGTCAATGTCTCTCAAATACCTTCTTACGATTGATAAGTATGCATCATTGTTTTTTATACGATTTTTGAAATTAAAGAAAGATCTAGCCGATCTTACTGTGTCATCGACGGGTTTATTTTTTACAGGAAGATCACACAGTTTATTATATGCTTCGATCACCTTTTGATATTCGCCACGATATATCTTCATATATCGATCATCATCCTTGGGGTAAAGGACATGTTCAATGCAAGCGACGGCCAATATGCCATAATTTATTCGATACAGCTTAACTTTCTTCAAATAATGACTCGTAAAATTAAGCATCGTTATTTTAAATTCGTGCAATTCCCAGGGTGTTGGATTCTCGTTTGCAAATGTTCTCGTCGTCTCACGCAGTATATTCTGAAATATAGTCTCTGAGTCCATAAATGCATTGTATATAATTCCGTTAATTTTTATATAATTCACTATATTAATGATAGTATCTGCATTCGATTTTTCACGAAAATATGTTGCATTCATTAATATCCCTTGGCCAGGTCCAATTAGACGCAATGCGTGTACTTCTGGCGGTACACTACTATTAAAAATTATAAAAAATTTTGAACTAAAATATTGTATTAACCACAATTAAAATATTTACTCACATCAATTCTAATGATTTTTTCTTTATATCTTCCAACTCAACGTTATCGATTTCAATGCTACTTAAGTATAATCTAATTGCATCCAAGCATGGAATGTTTCTTGAAAACTGTGGGCATCTAAAAAAAGATCGAGTCGATTCAACCACATGACTGTCTTGCGGCGTGTCTTCTTCATACCCATACAGTCTATTATACAACACGGTCGCCATTTCTGTGTCGCAACGATATATTCTCATATATTCTTCATTATCGCCGTCGGGGTACAGGGCATATTCGACGCAAGCGACGGTCAATATGCCATGATTTATTCGATACAGATTAACGGTCTTCAAATGATCAATTGTATAATCAAGAATCGTATTCCGAAACGAGATTAATTGCAACCTAGATGGACGCCAGTCAAACGACCTTGTTACTTCGCGTAGCATACGGCTTACAAAATTAACACCCCCTCGGCTCAAAATTAACATCCTCAAAGATTCTTCTGAAATATTGTATTGGTTATTCAAACAATCTACTAAATTAATAATAAAACGCGCATTTGATTTTTTTTCGAAAAATTCTCGATTAATTAGTTGAGGGAGTTGAGCGTCGGATCTTGGAAGTCGACCAATTTCACAGTTTGCCGGCAGCTCAACAATGTCATTAACTTCATTACCAAGTCTGGAAATTAAATTTATTTTGAGAGTTAAAAATTGTATGGAAAATTTTTAAATATTGACTTACATTAATTTAATTGATTTTTCCCTTATGTATTGCATATCCTCGTTATCAAATTGAAGACTTCTCAAATATGATCTTATTGCTTTCAAGTATTGATTGTCTTCTAAAAACTTCGTGCAATTGAAGAAAGATCTAGCCGATCTAGATAAGGTACCGTCGGGAGTACTCGGAAAACCTCGCAGTGTACGATATACTTTGATCGCCTTGTCTTCGTCGCAAGAATATATCATCATATATTCTTCATTGTCTTCCTCGGGGTAGAGGAGATGTTCAACGCAAGCGACGAGCAATATGCCATAATTTATTCGAAATAGCTTAACTTTTTTCAAGTGACCAATTGTAAAGTTAAGAATCGCATGTTGAAATGTGTCCAATTCTAACGTCGTTGGATTCATTTTTGCAAATGCTTTCGTCCCCTGACATAGTATAGTCCTTGTTAACCCTCTGTCCTTTATTTTTTCTTCTGTAATGTTGTAGCGAATCAAATAATCTTGTAATTTAATAATGTCCTCTGCATTATCTTTACTTTGAAAATAATCTTGCTTCATTAAAATTCGAAACATTTTTTTTATTTGCGACAAATTTTTAAAACTGATGAATAATACTGATATTCTACACTACACAGATTAATTATTTTTGCGATCCGATTCGACGTCCTAGAACTAATACGGTTCTATCAAAACTAACAGTTACACAATCTTAAACTTGGCTTCGTGTCAACATTGTTTTCCCTCGCTCACTCATAAGTGAATACTAATACATAGGACATACTTTCGAAAATCAGCCTATTCGAGTATTTTACAAGCTCTCGATAAAATTTATCGATATTATTAAATCGAAATCATGATTTTCATAAACGTGTTTAAATTTTGATCTTAAGTAGATATATGTACTTGACTTCAATGTATGAAACATTTTATTAAACCGTACAATATAAGTTAGTAGGTCAAATTCAATCTTCATTAAATTCATTATAAATATTTGCTCACGAAGTATGTCTTTTTGGGTTAACCAACGTATCCTTTTCTTCTGTCATTGAAGTAGTCAGTACATCATTGTGCAGGTCAAGCTATTTGATGTATTTACGATTATAAAAAATTAGATATTTACACTGATGTGTCAGATAATCGATGATTTTCTGTGATATCTAACACTAATTATGAAGCACATAACATCGATTTCTTAGGAGGACGAGGTGAAATTTAAAATTTCATTCCTTGGCTGTATTTTTTCAGATATTCATGCATTCTCACTCGCGCGCTGGGGCTTTTTAATTTTTTTGCTGCGTAGGACAATGATATACTATTTCAATGCACGAAATAAAGTTTTCAAGCTCCAAATAGTAATTATGATTGATAAACTTATTTCCGTACATAAATACAGACACGTCTGTAAATCGAATTTAGCAATCTCGCTTGCTTCTGAAACTCACTGTCGATCCTATCATAGATTTACTATCTCAAGATAGCCGACAATAAAAAAAAAGTAGTCGTTAATTTTCTCAAATTGTATATTTAAAAAACGATTACCTCGGAAAAACATCAGTAACCTTTTTCTCGAATCGGGGGAAAAAAACACGAGCATAGGTATTAACGCGCACTTACTCCCGCCATAATACTAAAATTCAACAACTTCCCTTTACTGGCACGTATCATTAACTGTAATATAACGTTATACCCTTTTTTTTACTCAAGCAAACTTATTATCATATTGTCGCGGCAAAAAACCTCTATTTACCGTTTATCCACCCAGAGCTTTCCAGACGAAAAGTCCATTTGTCCACTGCGGGCAATTCAGCTCCGCAGCTCTCGTACGTACGTGAAACACATCCGATGCCACGCGCTGACAAAAGTCATCTTCTCTTTGCTCTCACTTTGTTTCGGGAAAACATTTCGCCACTTGGCGCTCCGCTGCGACGACGTGACGTTGGCCGTATATCCTCGATTTATCAAGTAAACCCCACGTCGGGGCTTGACTTTTTCCCGGCGAATCGCTGAGCCACGCATAATAGCGAATGGAATAGCAAACTAGCGAAGCTCGCATTACCGAGACTAGATCTAAATTTTTTCCCCTTTTAGTAAAAATATTTTTCATTTTAATTTCGAGCCTTTCATTAATTTTTAACTTTTCCATGTCTCTCTCTCTCTCTAGCATCGAACGAGCAGATTTTATTCGTACGTATTATAGTCCAAAAGAGAAAGAGAGAGACTGCGTCTGCAAAGGAAAAGCCGTATTTATGTTACGTAGGCAACAATGATCTCGAGGCAAAACGCGAGCTTCCAGTGGCTTCGGGCCAAAAGCGCACGCGGTTAGAGGAAACTTGGTTTATATGCCTATATCCATTCGCGAGCTGTATATACCTGCGCTATATATATTTATACATCGTGTACCTTGGCAAAGTCTCTTTTCTTCTTTACTGCGTAGAATAAAAAGAAACGTAGGAAACTTTTCTTTCTGTCTTATTTGTCATTGGCAACGTACACCTAGTAGTACACACACACTTATATACGGTCCACCAGGATGATATTGTTGTTGTTGTTGTTGTTGTTTGCCCCGGTCTCGAGTGAGTCGCTCGCTTTTAAATTTCAAGCGATTACTCTGTATATATAAGAGTAACGGGGCAATGTAATTTTTCTCGCGCTGTATTATAAACTTTTTTCCAGCTGATATTTTTCCTGGGGCTGCGGGAATGGAAGGGGACCGGGGAGGAGGAAAAACTCACTCTTCGTATTATCAAACTGTGCGTCAATAATGGCAAGTTTTGCATCTGCATACACTTTGCGCTGTATCAAATCAAACCCTTCAACTTTGGCCTTACACGACTGACGAGCTGCTAAAGTTTTATCAAGAGTAGAGTATAAATCAATTAAAACCTGCTACGTGTACGTATATACACGAAGTGTATACTGGTGTGTGCATAGGAAGCCCTAATATTGAACATCTCCTTCCTAACAAATCAAAACTTTCCACAAACGTTACGTTCCATTTCGACCCTCTATACGCACAGCATAAGCGTGATTTTCGCTATGTTCTAGCTATAGTACACGGGAAGCCATCGTCCCTTTTTCTCGATCTACATAGCCCAAAACTCATACTCCTTTCTCTCTCTCGCTCTCTCTCTTAAGTTCTGTCTAGAGCGAAAGTAAACACACTGTATAGATGATCACGATCGCGATGTCTATTACTCGCAGCGGGAATCGAGAGTGAGAAAGCGAGGCAGACTTTGATTAGAACGTCGCGGCGGAGGCGCCGCCGTCGTCTTTAGTCTGCAACGATGACGCCTTGTACGCGTATATATGTAGCGCAGATATTGGGGGTACGTGTCCCTTTAATTTGATGCGCACAAGCGAGCGCCGAATGTGTCTGGACTCGAGCGCGTAGTATAAGGCGAACAAGATGAGATGGAATTACGTATTTGTGTTTTTAATTGTATTTACATACACTCGTTGAGAACGATATATATAAGTTCTTGACGTTGCAGTACGAGCCTCTTTGTTGATGTCAAAATTCACTATGTGGAAATCGAATCCACCCCAAACCGTCTACAATGTAAATATAAGACTCAACATATACACTTATTTTAGTTTCCTCACTTGCAGATTTACAAATAAATTTACGAGCCATCTAGCGGTGGAGACTGAAAGTAGAATTGTCGTATTAGAACTTGTTGAAAACGCGCATAATTTTTTTCTAATGATTACATGATTATTTTCAAGTCATTTAAAATACGCTTAATATCTGTAACATAATTGGAACATAAAAGTCACCACAAACATGTCAATTAAAGGTAATATATTTTAAAATATTTTAAATAGCCAGTTTTTGTCACTGGATGATTATTATTGTTGAGCCCTTCAAGCAGGGTTATTTAGGTCTAGTATATTTTGTATGAAATTATTAAAGAATATCATGTATACGCGTTCATAGTTTCGAAAGAAATTGTTACGAAATTTCTGCAACTGACGTATTCGAACCGTCAGGGGTGAACTTTTCTCCAGCTGATGTGTTTAGATTAGTTTGACGTTTCGCTGGGATTCGTATGGAAAAACTTCGATTGTAAAATTCGTCGACCCTCTAAGCTCCGAGCAACATTGTAATTTACGCATTCAAACTAATGCTCGTGTATTATAAAAAAAATCCCTCTCGCCTTAAAATTAGAAAAGTAGCCCTACGCACGCAAAACTGGGGTTGGCAGACTCGACGAGCTTTTTGTTAGTAGTTATTCTTACGCGCACCAGCTGCGTCTGTACATACACCTTCGTCATGCGGATGGAATTTTCTTAATTCAATTTTTTTTTTTCATTCGCACCAGTGGCTGAGATTTTTATCGTATAATACGTGAGCCATCATTTGTACGTGTGTATTGGTGTATAAGTGGTGGTATATATCATTTATTTGATTGCATAATATCTTGGGTGGCTACCCGGCTAGTGGAATGTTGGCCCGAGAGCTTTTCCTTTACTTTTCAACCGCGCGGAGAAATTGAAGTTCTGCACGCAAAAAAAAAGTCAATTAATTTCCATGCAGCTTTTGTACAGCGCGACGAAGATTACGTAATTAAATTTTCTAAGAAGGAAGCTCGTCATCGATCGGATGCCGCTGCTGAGAAGTTTAAATAAAAAAAAAAAAAAAGAAAGCAACAGCCATATCGAGTTGTACACAATCGTCATGATCGACATAAAACCAGCGATAAAAAATCAATTCGAACGATCGGCTCCACCTGTGCACTGCGCGAAAATCTCCAGCATAATTATCATCATTGCCGATGTGTGTGTGTGCGTATGTACGCGATGTACTTTCGCATATAACGACACCTGGCTCTGGATATGCGTCTGTTCGCTAGCTTGCCTCTACTTCCGATTGGGGCGAACGACGAAAGGCAATAAAGCCAATCGCGCAGTTTTGGGGGCGGCGCCGCCGCCGCCTCGCACCGACCGGGTCTATACGCCTAATATAATATACGCATCGGCATCTGGGTAATAAACGTAAAATCTAATGGCTGTAGTCGCAGACTACAGACGAGTGCGACAGTGTGTGCGTGTGCCAGTGAGGGCCATTTACCGACTGTATTTTATATATGGCAGCGGAGTAACCAGTAGCCGCGCGCGGCAGAGCTTTCCACCCTTGTCGCTATATATAGAGAGAGAGAAAGATTCGGCACATTTAAATCTGCCGATATAGAGGGCGAGCGTTAAAGGAATTGGAAGTATGCGATGTAAGCGAAATGCTTATACTACTGGCGTTGTACGCCTTGTTACGCTATTAATTCCTCTCACTACGACTGCGTGTGTATTTTTTCTTTATTTTTTTTACCTCGTACATAGCTCGGTGAGCGACATTTCTCTTGCCCCTTTCTTTTTCTCTCTCGCCCAGCGCAAAGAAAAAGCGCTCGCCAAAGGTCTAACACACAGAGCCCAGGACGTCAGGAAAAAATTTTTCACCACTCACTCGAACACAGAGAGCGCGTATATAGCAAAGCTCTTGCTTAATTCTCACTTTACTCAGCAACTCAGTAGTAGTGGTAGTAGTAGTCCGTGAGCGCGACAAAAGAATCGTAAAACAATTTAACCGGCGTCGCGCCTTTTCACACTTTGCCAGAGCCTGCCTCGTTGTGCTTGCGACGAGCGCGCGCGCGTTAAAATTAAGCTTCTCATTTCCGTTTAACCGAGCTTACCAGCAGCGGCAGCAGTGCCAGCGGTGGTGCATAGGCGTTCCTTTTCAAAGAGCCGCACGCGGCGGCAATCTTTGCCCTCGAGGTAGACGCTTATATACTATACTTGCTATACATGCCCAGGCGTAAGACGAGAAATTTCGTTATAATGACAATATCTGCTTGTAAGAGTGCGGGATAGGCGTGTGGGGAGGGAGGTACAGTCACTTACCTCGCGCAATTTACACCGTGTAACGCGCCACGCCATCGAACGCGTAACATTCCCGAATAAATCAGGCACAAAGGGGCTCGTGC